AAGTATTCATTAACAGCGATGAGACCATGCACACCAAACTTGAATAACCGACTTAATCCTAGAACAGTAACGTTCAAATTAGTAACATCATACCTAACCTTGGGTATATCTTACCCGATATAATATCCCAGATAAAATACAGTTTAACTCCTAGATGAACATAGATGAGAGGAGGGAAACAAATATACAATTAATGGCATCAGTTAGCTGCCTAAAGCTACCCAAAGACCCATGCAACTCAGACAGCCGCACAAGGAAAATCGTAACCCGACGTTTGTGTTTCAGGGTTCATAAACATTCAAAGATACGTTATCTGAGTGAATTTTAACAGAAATTTTCTATACAGCGTAATTTCTAAACATCTTCATTTTAATATTGCCAATACAACTCCATATAATTTGCCTTCACTAAAGTGAAATTACATTATTATCGTCCAGGTTAATCTATGGACAGCTATTTTAGATGTAACACAGAAATGAGGTTCTTTACTGACAAGAGTGTATACCCAATGCAGTTAGCATAGCTACATCTACTGTTTCTTCAAAAAAAGCACTTATGAAAACACTGAAACTGAAAGGTGATTCAAAGAAAACCTCTACAGTTAAATAGAAGCTTCTACTATTACCATAAATATATTATTGATTTTCTTGAGGGGCAGCATGATAAATGACAAAAAAACAGGCCTGATCTACAACAAGACTGCTTATGGTGCGACCGAGCAGCCTCAGCAGTCAAAAACCTTGTACCTCCAAAAAGGTACAAGCTTTAAAGCAGATGAGAATAGCTCCTTAGAATAGATGCACCATTGAAACCATGTTCAAAATGTCCTGTTAATGACAATAATATTGCTTGAGTGCGACTATTTAAGTTTTTCACTTTCCATTTTGTACATTTTCTAAAACACAAGTACAGTATAAGAATAAGATAGGGATTTGGTTATTAGTTAGACCCAAATATTATTCTCTTAAAGTTCTACTTTTTTCTACATATAAAAATATAAATAATAATTTAATGGTTCAAGAAGGATTGTTTTAACTTCCATTAATCTTAAAACTTTTAAGAGTTTACATTTACTGTTGATTCATTTGATTGCAAGGCAACACTGCTGCTGTGTTATTTTTTCTGTGTAAGTACTTTAACATTCATATTTCAACACAGAAGCTTTTTTTTATAAAGCTGAAGACAACTTGAAGTTTGCTTAATTAGTTAAATAGCTGGTTTAGAAGTGAAGATAATAAAACAATGAGGATGACTAGGTTGTAAAGGCCTGGAGGACCATCATCTATTGGTAGCCTTTATTAGCCGTGATAATCCTCCTGCACAAAAGATACAGTCACTTCTGTGACTAGTGAAGTATTACAATACCACATGGAGTTATAGCAGTCTTAGCCTTTCAGTTGGAAAATGCAAACTTCAGAATGACAGGTTTCCACAGTTGTTAGGGAAGTGATCAAAGGTTACACTTTTTCCACTTGACTTGGGTCGTAAGAGTCTGATAAAAAAAAGAGGGGAAACAATAGATCAGGCAATGTGATTCAAAAAGTCAGAACAACTTATTTTGCTTTTAATGAAGTGGACATTGACAAAACATCCTTAGAGAAAAATATATACCTGTAGTGTAAAACTGAAATTGAACACATATGCTTTGAAACAGAAAATGAAACAAAGTTTGAATTTAAGTTCTATTTTTAAAAAATACGATAACAATAGCAATGTATTATATATATACTATACATATCATATGAATTTTTTTTTTTTTTTATCTGTGATGTTCAGGTGGCCTCCAGGGGGAGTGCCTTTTGCTCAATGGTGGATGGCAAAAGGCTCCATCTCCCTAGCAACCCTACTTGGAAGAGGTGGGTATTAATGGATGGGTATAAAAAAATTGATAGATTTTTTTAAATGTAACTTCTTTTTGTTTTATTTTTACTTTCTGAAACAGGATTTTTGTGCTGCTTCATATTATATGGGTTTTGATTCAGGTATTTCTAATACAGTTACATTTCTGGTGGGAAGGATGAGACTTTAGATGAAAAGAGTGAGAGAATCACGACTGGCAGCATAACAGCAGTGGCTCCCTCTTGCCTCTTAAGGAGATATGAGAATGCCAACAACTTAATTGATGGCCCCTCTACATGGTAAGGTTTCATGTGTCACTGACAAAGTTTGGTCATTTAGGCTGTCTTGGTAAGTAATCAAAAGAAAACACAATGCAAGAAGGATAAATGATGCTTTATTGAAAAATAATCTCTGTCACACTTAATTGTTTGCTTGTTTTCACTCCCAGTAATACTGTTTATGCTGTTTAGTATATGGCCCTTTATTCGGCTATAAACTGTCTCTATTTCCAAGTATGTAAAAAATGAAGGAGATAAGGGGGAAACACCCCATTTAGGATGAACCCTGGCCAACTGATGAACTAAGTCTCTATGCACAGAGTTTATTGCAACCAATTCCCATTTTAAAGAAATGTATAATTCTCTCTTGATTGATAAATGCTGATTTGACAGACAAAGGTTATTATTATACATCCACTTGCCTCTTCCGGTACTGCTGGTTTACCTGGATTTTCCCAATAAGGAACAATTAAGGATATTTCTATTTTATGCTATTAACTTCTGTAGGGACTCCAAATTACCTGCCAGGTCTTGTCCACTGTGGCCCAAACAAGAAAACATGCATGATTGAAGACATTAAAGCTCCCCTGAATGATAAAAATAAATTTTTCGCAGCTGGCAACAAAGATGAGGTGAGGACAATCCAGGGAATCCTCAAAGTGAATATCAGGAAGGCTAAGGAGAACTACAGGAGGAAGCTGTAAAATACTCCGGCAGAATAATATGACAGAGATCTGGAGCAACATGAGGACTATAACTGGCTTGGGCTGTTCAAATTTAACAATATCCTTACTTATCCATACTTACTTAACTTGGTGGGGATACTTAACTTTAAAATATCCCCACCATTGTTCCCATTGCATGTAACATAGCAGATGAGTTATTAACCTTGGTGCCTATAAACTGTGCTTATAAATATTTATCCCTCTAACTTTGCTGTCTATTCTGAAGGAGATGGTGCAGTCACTATGAATGTTTCACTGGCTGAAAGTGTAATGTGCTCAGATTCATAGCCTTCATTTCAGCACTGCATAGACCAACGTATTTTCATATTTGAGTTTTTGTCATTAGCTTCTGACTTTTGTCAATGGTTGTCCTGTAGGTAAAAACTGTTAACCATCACTGAAAACTTTAGTATTGGCTAATTACTAATAAAGTTTTGTCTTGATGCCCAACAACAGTCAGTTTTATTTGATAGTTCTTAATTTTGTTCACTAACTTTTTAAAGGATTATAATATCATATGGACGTGTTTATGGCAGGAGTGGGAAGGTCTGCTTGTGGCAGCAGTAAAATCGTCTCAAGCACAAGAAAATGTCTGTTTTAAGTGTTGCGATGTTTACTTCTTCCTCAGTTGGTAAAGTACCAACATTTTTTACAGAATTTCACATAATCACTTGAGTTTGCTACTGTTATTGTTAAAAACAAATATCCACAAAACAATAGCTTGCTAGAACCAAAAGCTAGAGGATGCACAAACATTTAAGTGGTTGGTGAAAGCTCTGTAGATACAAATGGCTTGAAAATTTTTCAGTTTTTTAAGATATTTTTTTAAAAATCTGCTTATCAGGAGGATTAAAACGTTACCAAGCTTTGTAGGCTGATAAACCAAGTACTTGTGGTAAAATTAGGCATTTGCGATTGACTGCATATAACAGATTGTGGCCCTGTGACAGACTTTTGGACCATCCAGGGTGTACCCCATTGACCACTGGGATAGGCTCCAGTTCCCCCCCCATTGGGAATAAGCGGTTACGATAATGATTGGATGGATGGATGTGTCGTAGTACTTCCCATGTTGCCAGCCTCTTCTGTTATGCTGCCACTTATCATTCCATACCCTTGTCATCTGAAAATCAAATTAAACCAAAAAGCTGAAACCGGGAAAAAATTGAATCTGATTGTGTAAAATAACAAAGCATCAGGATCTGAAAAAAAATACCAGTGTGAATATCTGGATCTGAAAAAAAAATAGCAGGGTGAATATCTGGATCAGTAAAAAAATGTAATTAAAAATGAAGATTTACATGAAAAACGTTTGTTCCACTCACTATGCAAGTTCAAAATAGGTCTTTCAGTTTCAAAACATATTTTTTCCATTTGAATTTCTTTTATAAATAAGCAGACAGTATGTCACCATATAACTCCAAGATCGAAAGATTGAAGATCTAAATATTGTTTTGAAAGTACCATGTTTTGATTGAAGTGACGTGATTCTAATTTATTTTTTTCTGCAAAAGCTGAAAAGTAAATGGTGATTCTTTAACATTATTCACATTTTTTTATTCCTGTTTTTGTGGGTTTTATAAGATGGAAGCCCAAATTATGTATCAATAAAATAGTTGATATCATTTCAATTTTGGGCCCTATGACTTTTTGAATAGAATTGTGGAAATTAAACCACTTTTCCATGATATTCCATTTTTTTGGAAAAGGTCTGTATTTCAAACAAGGAGTTGTGCTCAATGCTGTGAGAAATTACATGAGAATATTATGTTGAGGTAAAACTGCATATATAGAAGTCCATGAGTAAATGACTTCTTTTTATTTTGTTCATCCAACATTTACTATGAGTTTATGATGCAATTCAATTTTATTCAACTGTTAAATTCCCACTTTTCACAAAAAGTGTATATGTGTATGTGTATAGGTGAGTGTATATGTTGCAATAACAATGGTAGGAAGTGTTCAATGTAATTGTATTTGCTAATTCTCCTGTAAGTTGCTTTGGATACATTGTTTTATGATATATAAAATAATTATTTCATACATTATTATACATTATTATTATACAAATGGATAGTACCTGTATTTAAATTAAGATATTTGATTATAATAATGGCATAAACAATAGAAATGTTAACACTAATTATTTTGTACTTACCAGCTGAGGAGAGCATTTCCTCGTCTTCCATTACTGTGTTGATGCAGGTCCCAGTGCTTAAGCTTAGTGCTGGCACCATTTTACTCTGGACGACATTACAAGGTTTAGGGTGCAGGGGAGGTATCTGGAACCTGGTATGCTGCTTTGGTTTAGGTAACTTTCCTCCCTCTGTATATTGACTGGTAGCGGCTATGTTGACACCTATAGTGTTATGCTCATCATTCATCATATCCAAAGGGTTTTCTTTGTCTTCTTCCACAATTTTAAACTCCATTTTGCCCTCCTCCATTTTTAATTCAACGTGCACTTCTTTATTCAGTTCAATGCCTGTTTTAAGCTCAATTTCAACAGTCATCTCTTCTACATCACCTTCATGTCTTTGATCCCGGTTGCACAATCTGTCATTTTCCCCTTGTACTTGGTCAAAATGTCCCAGCTTGATTTGATCATTCTGGTAATCACCTTGGCATTCCTGCTCTTGACCTTTTGCATCCACTTTCTGTGGATGCTGCATGACAATTTCCTTCTTTGACTCTTTCTGAACTTCATTTTTCTTTGTAGTGTCTTTTTCATTAAAAGCTTCCCCTAAGTGCTTTGGACTTGTTAAGTTGTTGTTTTTTATTTGAGAGACAAAGTCCTGTTCTTTCACACTTGCCATTCTGTTTGTTCTTGACCCAGCCAGAGATGTAGCAGATAATGGCACAGAACAGTTCATCTTATTTGGCAAGGATCGAGTTACTCTGCTAGTGTTATCTTTCTTGACCTCACTGAACATGCTCGGTGATAGCTTCTCATCAGGGATGACAGTTGGAAAGAGGACACACTCATTTGCTAAGAACTTAGGAAGCTCTCGCATTGACTGAGTCTCTGTAACCATTTTGTCTCCACTATTACTATGGTCACTGCTATGCATGTTTCTGAGATCTTGTTGCTCTTCTATATATGTAACTGACAGTGTCTCCTTAACACTTTCTAAGTCTGCAGTTAGGGATGCCTCTATAACTTGCTCACACTCGCCTGTCGGTTGTTTTGCCAGTGCATTTGGACATGGTGGTTTGACCTGGTTGTTACCTGACTGTTTATCTGCCACACTCAAGGCTTCCACTGGAACTGTTATACCCAGTATCCTTGCTGCCCGTTCCTCTATGGATTCATTTTCGGAAATTCCTTTTCCATATCTGATCTCATGCAGGCTGCTGAGGACCTCTGCAGGTAAAGTGTTATTTTTCTCTTGAATCAATAAGCTCTCCAACTGTTTATCTGCTATTGTTGAGTCATTCTTACAGATCATAGGCTTAGCCAGCATGTATCTTTTATCATCCTCAACAACAAAAGAAACCTGCCTTGCAATATGTTGCATACTTTCTTTCTGAGGTAAAGTATAACTTTCATTTTTGGTCTTACAGATGCTTACAATCACCTCACCCCTGAATGGTGGAACATTGTCTGATGACGCTTTTTGTTCCTTATTCATCTTACATTCAAGCTCTTCATTTGAATTGCTCTCTCCACTATTTTCAACTAGTACTCTCCTCGTCTTCCAGGAGAGCTGCACCGAGTGAAGATCCTTATGGTTGATAGGGGATGGAACTGAGAGAGAGCGCTGCATTGGTTCTCCAGGCGCACCGGGAGTTTCTGTGTAGACAGTTAGCCCTACATCCCTCAACAAAGATTCTTGAGGGACTGGGATGTCTTGTCTGTATAGTTGGTTTAATTCACTTTGTGGTAGAACAGAGGAAAGGAAACAACTGGGTTGTGAATTAGAGTGAATGTAAAGATTCTTTTTCAAGGTTGTGTGGTTGGCATGGGGCATGTCAATGCTGTCTATATCAACAGTAGAGGCAAAGGACTTTGATTTCTTTTTAATAATGTTGTTCTTTCCTGTGTGCAGTGGTGGCAAACTTATTGCTTCCCGACCAGGTTCTGGACCAACAATAAAGTGAGCTTTTGATTTGAACCAATCTTGCCTCTTATTCACCCTGTCAAGATCATCTCTCAACTGACCCACACTGGATGTCTTCTTGATTGTGTCTTCTTCCATATCCCTATTAATAGTCTCCAATTCACCACTAGCATCACAGGGTCGTCGGTTCACTGGCTTTAAGAGAAACTGACCAAAGACCACTTTTTCTGGACTCTCCTGGTGAATACTTTCCCTAGGAGAGGATGACCTCTGTTCTTCCTGATTCCTTGCCACTGAGTATGGTTCCTGTTCTGACTCTTTGAAAAGTGGTATTTGTGTTGAGATAGGGCTGAGACGAGAGAAAGCGCTGTTGCTGGAAAGATGAAGGTTCTTCTGGCCTGCCATAGGGTAACTATAAGAGGAGCTACTGTTATTTGCAACATCACTGTCAGTCTTTGAGACAGATAGAACAGCTTCTTGTACAGCATTAGGAGTATGAGGTTCTGGACTGTTTACCACTGTCAAAAGTGAGCAAGTCTGTGTTTCTTGATTACGATACTGGTTTCCAGGCCAGGAGCCAGTACAGCCTAACTTTTTGTCTTCATTTGCTGTGTATGCCCAGGCATCTATTGTCTCCTTCCTTAAAGGAGCTCTTTTGTCTGTTGAGGATTTACTGCTGGTGTGAATGTGGGGTCTGACAGGTATCTCATTCACAGATTTGCTACGAATGTTTGCACTTTCTTTGAGCCCAACAGCAAAAGTGCCAGTGTTGGTAATTGTCAGGTTTGCAATCGCCTCATTGTCCTGGTTACCTGATAAGTTGTTGCTAAAGTTTGATGGCATGTGTACAGGAACAGATACAAGGCAGAAGATCGTCTCACTCACTCTCCTCTTGGTGCTGCTGTTCATCTCTGTTCTTGAATCTGGTACAATTTTTTTCACTTGGGTGATGGTTTCTCTACAAATCTTGTCGTGTCTGGAACCCTGATAAGAAGAGGTTCTTGGTAATGAGGCTTGAAAGGCTGAAAAGGGTGATGGAGAAGGATGGTGGGTTTTGTGATGTCTGTTACAGTTTTGGTCGGTCGCTGGCAAGTTATCAACAGTCTCTTTGTGCAAATTGCTCTGCCATCTCTTATTGTCACAACTTGATGATGTCAGATTGACAGCAACAAATGGCCCCGGTGGTGGGGCTAAAAAGGCACTGTCGTCTTGGGAAAGCTCAGACACTGGAATGCTAGGAAGCTCATTACGGATGTGGCGAATCTTATCAGCATCTGTCAAGGAGTTGCCACCCAGGGCTGAGGAAAACTTATTGATACATGGATCATCAAATGGAATACATTTTACTCCCCCTCTGTTCTCTTTGCTAGAATACAAAGGGTAACACTGTTTCTGACAGGACACACTTCTCTCCATGTGGGGATGAGGCCAAGAGCCAGCTGGATATCTGATGAACCAATGAGATTCATCGGGTGCCATTTTTATCTGCTGATACATATCCCCTCTGCACCTATATCAAAACAAAAATGTAACACAGATATAACAGTGACGTCAAAATTAGATGTTTGAATAATAACTCAATTGCTAATTTAGGAGGCGTGAGGACACTTAGTTATTATTCAGATAATGTTCTCAACATGTGTGTGTAACATTTGTAATATCCACCAGCAAAGTGCAAGATTAAAATCTTGCACCCACTTTAGGGCACTTTAATTCTGGTTATGCCAGCACAGTTATTTTTTCTTTTGGTGATAAAAAATCTTAATAAAGGGAGAACCAAATATTTATCTTATTTGTTTTCTGATGACTTTGTGCTCCTCTGAATTATCACTGATTCTTAGAGGTGCCAAAACATTCTTATCACTACTGTGAAGAAAATGAAAATTCTATATTCATTCATAAATTCAAATATAAAAATAGAAAGACAAGGAATTTGTGGAATTGCAAAGGCAATATCCTCTTCCTTATTTTTCTATTACAATAAAAATATCTAAATGCATCTACCAATATCGATTTGAAAGTATTAAAGTTTTTTCTAAGGGCCCCTAAACTTGAATTCAACCTTTTATTGTGACAATGATATGAGTATTGTATCTCTTGTATATATCAGTATATTTGAAACTTAATTTAAAACCAAGGGTTACTCACAGGCTTAATCGACACCTTATCATTTCTCTAATAAATGTTTTTAAAAAAGAAATCACTGATTAATTACTTGAAGAACAAAAAATAACTTACCTGTAATCAACAGCTATTTGTCCATAATTCTGGAGCCCACCTGCCATTATTGGAGCTCTTTTATATGATGGGGGAGGAATGTATACCGGCGGTCCAGAGTCGTGTGCAAAAGAGTCTAAGTGGGGGTCAGGTGTTCTTGCTATGGGAAGTGGTGTTCTGTCCCTGGTCTGTGGGGTGAGTAATTCTCTGCCAGACAACAACTCACAGCTTCCCCTGATCTGCTGGTGCATTTCATAAGATGGAGGTCTGGGAGGGCGGGTAAAGCGGGGATTTGGTGTCATTGAGAGTTGGTTGGCACTAGCTGGCCTACCATTCTCTGACCGACGCGGTAATCTATAATGATGGTGGTGTGACAGTGGGTGACCATTCATTTGGCTGTACAATTCCTGACTGGACAACGCTATGTCAACATATTGCAGGCTATCAGGTTGAAGCATCCTGGGTAGGGACTGGCATTTGCTTTTGGCCGTAGGGTGGACAACTGTGCCCTCTGGTGTTCCTGCATAAAACCGTTGCTGCCCTTGTACCCAACGCTCACTGTTGGTTTTATGCAGCTGCCGACCAAAGCCTACAGCTGAATGCCACTCATCTGTTTCAAGGCTCTGGTACTTTCTGTCATTCATCAAACTGGACTGATGGAGAACTGCCTCATTTTTTTTACAGAGGGCCTGAACTTGATGCTGAGCCTTGGACTGAGTTGCCCGTAGCTGCCTTTGCTGAGCTGTCCATTCTTGGTTCACTCTTGGGAGTTCTTGACCTCTTGCTTTTTGCAACTCCTTAAAGTCTGCATAGTCCAGCAGCACAGTGAAGTCCTGTCCTCTCCTCCTCCAGTAGGCGACATCATTTGAATGTAACATATGGCCTTTGTTGACATCACAAAATCTGTAAGAAACATAGATGGAGTTGTCATTTCGCTTCCACTGAATTTCATATTGAGTGGTCAGCTTGTCTGAAAATCTCTCCTGATCTGTTTTTTACAAAGGTGGAACTGAGATGTGTTACTTCAGTGTTTAAAACATCTGAAAAACAAGAGAATGGGCAAGGTTTGAAATGTATTCCATTTATTTTTATTCCAAAAAAACTATGTCAAAATAACTCCCAATATTTGTTCAATGAATAACCATTTTGGTTACACAAAAAACAAATTACTGATCAGCTGATATATATGACTGTGTCTGTAAGTGAATGTTATAGTTTTGAATTTGAAAAAAGATGCATTGGAGCAAAGGGACAGTTACTGACAAGACGTCTGATGCCACACGATGAGACAATGTGAGATTACATAGCTTTGCCATTTCAGCTTAATTAAGGATCGATTCACTGAGAAAAATTATTATACAGAATGGGGCAAAAAGTGTTTTGGAAAAAATTTTATTACAATAAATTTTGAAACAACTGACGTGCTTGCCTTACTGTGTAACCATACTACTGACTTTGTCTCAGTTAAAGTATATGTTCAGATATGGTGCGAACGATAACTTAAAAATATAAAACCCATAGGGTTTCACTTGCACAACTCCAGACTGAGATAAATACAGCTTTCCCTCATAATTCAAAATATCCAATAACTTCTGTGTTATTGACGGAGCTAACACAGTTTATATTATCATTACAATGAAGGTCTGTCTAGCATATTGACTCTTTATAAGGGTAGGAGGAGGTGGGTTTCCGGAAAAAAACCTAGCAAATGCATATGACAAGTTTGACCAAAAATGGCAAACATAATATCCCTCCTCTCATGATTTATGTGAGAAGAGGAGGAAGGGGAAGAAAGAAATGAGAAAATGAACTAAGAGTAACAATGTTCGGCAGCTCTATTAATTATATGACATAGAAACACCAAACAAGTCATGCCTGTCAAAATGCCTGTGAAAATGATCTGTGAAATCATCAGCCCAAAGATACAGAATATCAGAAGATCATATCTTACCCACTGTCTGAGGTAAGAGACTTTCCTAAGGAGTGGGTGTCAGTATGGCCTTGGTTTTTACTCTCCCGTTTCAGCTGGTTTCTATTCTGAGGCTGAATGCTGTTGGAACAGCTGTAAATTTGGTGTTCCCGCAAACCGTTATTGTTTCCAAAGGGCACAAGGAGCCTTCTTTCGCAGCCATTCACTGTCCCATGCTGATGCCTTTTCTCCAGGATTCCATGGTGTTCATTGTAGGATGGTGGTGTGGATAACAGCGGCTGGTGTGATGAGGAAGCATTGTGTAGTCTAGGTGTCGAGGATGCATTATGCTTAGGCAGCTTGTATCCATGAGAGATGAGGAGATCCTCCACGCTGTACATGGTTGTGTTTTTTATGTTTCTGTTTTCTGCTTTTGGCTCTTTTTATTTAATTAAAGAAAGATAGAGAAATAAAGTTGATTGTCAAGGCATCTGCTTCTTTTCAATGTGCATCAGCAGGTTCACTGGCGCAGCAGGACAAACTAGGCCATCTCTGGTAAAAAAATAAAAAAAAATGAAGGTTTGTCATAAATATACAAGAGCGAAGAAATAATGTGACAATAAAACCACTATGGCTTCTGTCCTTGTCCTTGATTTGGAAAACATTTTATAGACTAGACCAAAAAAAATAATTCCTTCCGCCCTCCTTCTTAATATTATTTTGTCTTCACTGATGATAAAAGACAGGATGGTTAGGAATGATTAGGGTTTTTATCCACAAAGCTTAAAATTCTAAATGATAAAGTAACACCTTCTCATTCATGGTTACAACTCAGTTTGTAGACGTTGTCTGCCTTATTAGTCTGAACACTGAGTAGAGTTGTGTTCCTCAAGCAAGATTCAGCAAAAAAAAAGTAGCCTTCCTGATTTTTCTACTGTATCCCTGTTAGGGGATACAGTAACAGCCTCCACCAGCTACCAGCCAGTAATCTCAAATTTCCATTGAAATGAAAACGAAGACATCTAATAAAAAGCTTGGCTATCCATTTTCTCCTACTATACACGGAGGGAATTCTGCCAGTTGCTGCCTTAAACCTCGCCAACAGGGTTTTTTAAGTGGGTGTGGAACAATGCATGACTTCTAGAAATTGTAATGTGTGTCTGCTTTAAGGGATCTTTCCTCAGTGCCTGAAAGCAGCTGTCATTAAGCCACTTTAAAATAAAGAATAGTCTAGATAAGTAACTCATGACCAGCTATAAGCCCTTATTAGACATACCGTTCTTAGTAGAATTATGGAGAAATTTGTTGTTCAACAGCTGTATGACCTCCTGACACTAAACCTGGATTTAGCACCCTCATTAAGACAGTAGTTAAATCTGCTTGTTATTATTGAGAACAACTTAAAGCACTGATGTCTCAGCAGGACTTAGAAAAACTTTCCACTTTCTATACTAATTACTCCAAATGGGCTCACAGGCAGCTGGAGCCTATACCAGCTGACAACTACAGCTACTGTTAAGGACACATAAAAAATGTTGCCCCGAGGTCTTGATTTAATCTTTTCTTTTCTCAGGAACTTCTAAAATAAAACTCATCCCAAATAGACCCACAATAACATTAGACCCACAATATCATTAGCCTTCTAAATTTGCATCACAAAGAGGCTATGTCGTTAAATTAATCTCTGTCAATAGGGAGGTCCAACGTAAAATATTAAATACTTCATTCATTTAATTCAGATTTTCTTACTGATTGGAATTTCTATATTTACATGTATGTATATGGGGTCCCTGGTTTGAATCCCAGTTTGGTACCATTTCTGTGTTGAGTTTTGTTTCTCCGTTACCCAGGCGTATGGATGCATCGGTGTGTTGGTGTATCCAGGTAACGCGAACTATGCATATGTGACCTGGAATATTTCTCTTTAACGTGCGTTCACTGCCCAGCTAAATTGAAGATTTACACCGGTTGTTGGGGAAATACAGGGACTTTCATTCCTCTACAGTTTTCCTTTAAGTGGCTTGTGCTTTGACACCTGAAGGACATCACTGACCCCATCCTGGATCTTCACTTCATCCTTTGGCACCTGGATTCCACAGGAACCTACGCCAGTATCCTGTGTTTAGATTGGCTTTTATTTACTAACTTTGGAGGGTTACTTTGTTTTACATTATTACTAGATTTAGTAATCGATTTCATAGAATTTACTAATGACTTCTGTTGGTTTTAAGAATTATATTCAGACACTGAACTCATGTTACGTCTACAGTTGTACTTCCAAATTTCTCTCTTTTTTCTATGAGACATTACATACACATCTTCAAGGACAACACTCAAGCACACACATTTCTTATCACATCTCAGTGGAACTTTGGCCAGCCTCGACGGATAGCGTCCAGCTTTAAACCTCCAAGGGCTTGAGGAAATGGTCTGACGGGTTCGGTTCTGGAACACCAGCCTTGGGATCGAGTTTGGTCGTGTTAAAGTGATCTGAAGTGGTAAGAATGAATGTGCACAAAGGTTAAAATTGGTTTAGAATAAAATAGTGTTTAAAATTGAATTAAGCTGGTTCAAAATGTAATTTTCCAAAATATCTTATCGGCTTTCTTGGGAGGTTTCTGGAGACTGGGCGAGGCTGCGATTAGTCTGTGGTAGACTGATATGCACTTCAGCAGGTTCGGTACCATCAGTGAATGGGTATAGGAACAGGTATATGTATTTGAGGTAAGTCCATGTGTTACTTTTTAGAGAAAAGGACATCAGGAGTGTTGCGTTTGCAGTTTCAAAGTGCAATGACTGTCAAAATTCTGACAGGATATGGAGTATGGACATTTCTACACAGAGGCTGTGCTGAATCGAACTCTTTAAGTCTTACTGCAAAATTCACTGTGTGATCAGCTCGGGAGCGCAGCGTACGGTTCTTTTGGAAATTAGCACTGGTACAGGTACTTGGTACAAGTACAAGTGGATTAGTTTTGAAAAGAGCAACCACACAGATTTCCATTCAATTCAATTCAATTCAATTTTATGTATATAGCGCCACATCACAACAACAGTTGTCTCACAGCGCTTTCCAAACAGAGCAGGTCAGACCCTACTCTGAAGTTAATTACAGAAACCCAACAATTCCCACCATGAGCAAGCACTAGGCGACACAGGCAAGGAAAAACTTCCTTTTAATAGGCAGAAACCTCGAGCAGAACCATGGCTCAGGGTGGGCGGCCATCTGCCTCGGCCGGTTGGGGGTGAGGGAAAGAGAGGGCAAGTGATAGAGGGCGAGAGAAGGACAGAGGAGCAGAGAGAGGCAGCCAACACAGCAACACATAGACTGGATGAAAAATGGCAATGATATTAATACTAATGATAATGGTAGAAGTTATGACAGCAATAACACTATGCAGAGTAGTAGCATAGCAGCAACACAGGGGCAGCAGGAAACTCCCAACCACAGATCCAGACTCCACAGCTCTAGGAACACCTGCAGGAAGTGATAGGAGGAGACTCCCAACCCATTTCAGTGCAAGGCAGTACTATTGTGGTAATAGTAGGTGTACCGTATTTTACGCTCTATAAGGCGCTCTTAAAAGCCTTCAATTTTCTCAAAAACCAACAGTGCGCCTTATAACTCGGTGCGCCATACTGTATATATTGATCAGGAGTCGCAACAGGTCTCCCAACTACGGGAAGCAGCCGCCAACTCCATTTCTCCGGTAGAAGAAGAAGTACCGCACGATGAATGTGGGGCGAAAAGGCGCCACCTTTTGGGGATTCTGCAGTACTGTACAATGCACATATCTACTAGTACTCATTTTAAAAGTCGACGCAGTAAGAGAATGCGGCTGTTAAAAAATTTGGACATTTAAGGTAAACATTGACTCTGATCCTGACTACGACAACAGGAAGTTCAAATAATTTCTATAGCTGCGGTTTTGTTTTTTACGAGAAAAGCTCGTCAGCTTTATGCTAGCTGCTATGTATTGTGATTGCACTAACGTTTGATTTACCGTAACGGCATCATACTGTTTCTTTTACATGTTAACTGAATGGAGGACATTACCTCGGGAAAAATAATAAAACAGCTGTTTATTCATTTTGGGAGTTGTCAGAACGCTGGTTTGTATTCTATTAATAACATTTGACTGACTTATCTCACTGTTTAGTTGGCTTTCTCTGTAGTGGATGCAGAACGCAGCCCCAGCCACTACTGTAGCTTTTAGTCTATGTGCCCTATAATGTGGTGCGCCTTGTATATGGAAACAGTTTTGACAGGCCGTTCATTGAAGGTGTCGCTTATAATTATAGTGCAGAAAATACGGTACTTGATTTTGAGTACCAGGAGCACAGCACTCCAAAGGATGAGTGCAGCAGTACTTCAGCAAATGTATTGAGAATACCTCTTCGGAGATGTCCCTGGAGAAGTAAGGAATTATTTATCCTGACTGACTGAGCCTCTCTCACAGGCTCCATTTGCTCCATGGCTAACGCTCTTTCCTTCTCTCCCTCTGCTCCACATGCATCTGCAATCCTCAACCCCACTCTCTGCCATCTTTGTGCCTGACCTGGACTTTGGCTCCTGCCCTCCACCAGCTACCAGCTAAACAGCCCACAGCATGAGGAGAAAGCCCAGAGAAAGTTAAAGAAAGGAATACAATCCCTCAGCCTGATGTCTCCTTTAGCCAGATGCCTCCACGTCAGAACCAGCACTTCAACACAGCGTTTACCATGACTGAAGTGGTCCAAATGGACTGACATCCCAACCATGAACTGAGGCAGACATCATTGAGGCTTCCTCTCATCTTACTGACTCCTGTCCAAAGCTCACTGATGAAAAGTGCATTTTCTAAAAAGGCTCGGCCCAATAGAACTTTGCCAGACAACAACAGCTTGGCAACATTTTGGATCACAGCAGAACTCTGAGATCCTGTTCCACCCATCCAGATCTGCTGCCATGACAACCGGGCAGTGGGTGTGGGCAGAGGGTGTGAACATCTGGGGGCAAGGCAGAGGACAGTGGTGGCTGGGGTTGGAATTGATTTCTCTGTGGACACAGGACAATGGAGAAATTAATATTCCTGTTATGACACACTGACTCTGATGACCTTGGTGCTTCTGATAACACGTGAATACTGCAGCTACACATACTGCACTGTTGCTCCCTGTCTCCACTTCTCCTTCTCTTGACACTGATTTACAGGTCATGCAGAGCTTTACCTCTGCTGAGGAGGAACCAATTTGGACCTCTTCAGATGGAACTAAGCTTGTCCCTATCCAATATTTGGATCGGATCGGCCGCCAATATTTGCAAAAAAATGCCAATCGGCCGGCATGAGAAAATTCCGATCCAGACTGCCGATCCAGTTTTGTTTTTAAAGTCCGATCCCACACAAGCATTAGCATATCC